AGGATTACGTGTAAAAATTTGTAAATTTTTAATAATGCATTAAATTTTAAATAAATAAACGTGATTTCAAGGCCTCAATTTAGCAAAAAAAAAAAAAAAAAAAAATAAGTATAATGGTTCTAATTAGTATGAAAAGGCAATTAATTTTTTAGAAAAAGGTTGTAATTGTGGTTGTTCTTCAAGAACTTCCAAGGAAAATTTTGCAGAATTAAGAGAATCTTTTCAAATCTGAGCAAGACATATTTTAATGGCTTGACTTAAAGCAATGGATGGTAGATTAACAAGTACTAGTAGATGCCTTAAGAAGAAAACTAGATTTAATAAAAGAATTTTCTATCACTGTGATTAAGGTTTCTGGCCAAAACTCTCTTTATTAGTAGCCAAAATTACTTTTTTATAAGCCCAAACTGTTTTTTGTTATTAGCCAAAATTAGGTGAAATTATTTTAAAGTTGTTTAAGTTAAAATAAGTTAATTGGTATGGTTTTTTAATGTTCATGTTTATAAAAAATGTTGGGAAGCCCAAATTGACCACCAGTTGATCAGAAATTTTATAGCCAAATCAATATTATTTTATTTACATGTATTGACTACTTGTCAATTTAATGCAAAAGATAGTTGAAGCTGCTCTAATAAATTAAATCATGGATTTCTTAAAGTAAACAATTATGCAAAAACAATGATAAATATTTTACAACACCCAAATTTTTCAAACAAACTTTGTTTTAATAAATTCAAAACAAATCTAATTATCTAGTAATAAAAACAAGTGAACAATCTTTGAGTATTTTCTAATTTATGCAGTAAAACAAAAGTATATCACACAAAGGTTCTACTATGTGTAATTCCCTCAATTAAAATTTATTTACAATTATTAAGTAAAACATTAAAATAAATAAATATTGTCTATTTTTGGGTTAGAAAATCTATGGTAATAATCACCTTTAAATACCTAATCCTTTTTTTCCTAATGAAGTTTTAGCATTATGGCCTGGCATAAATATTTTTGGTTTTTTGGGTGACCTTACTGCTTGTATTTGTAATTTTTCTTCATCTTCCTCTTCCTCTCGTGCCTTCTTAATTTTCATTTCCTTTGTCATTTTGGCCATTTCTGCTTTGTTTGCAGCCCGTTTTTCCTGTAATAATAATAATAATAATTTTATTATTTTTTTGAGGGAAAGAGGTTTTAAAAAGAAATTAAATCTAATATTTCAAATACCTTTTGTGTAAAATTATTTTCTTTGACTGAATAAAACATAGGTCTAATAATAAAAAATTTTTTAATAATTGATTTTAATTTAATTTTTTAAAAATTACAAATATATTACAACATACCCCATTTCTGCAAGCCAATAGGGATCTACAGCAGTAACACATTGCATATATTCTTTTGAAGTCATTACCAATTCATGATAGACTATGTAATCAGGTTTATACCCAAGTCCATACAATGCACTTGTTGGATGAAGATGACATGGCATACCAGTACAAATATTAACATATTCTCCTATTCCCTTAATTCTTGCAGCTTGATGAAAGCATGCTGAACATATACAGTCCCCGGTGAAAGTAATGGCGCGTAATTTTTTATGAATAAAAAATGTACTTTATTAAAAATTTAAAAAAAAATTTTTTTTTTCTTAAAGCCAAATAGTATGGCTATAACATTTATTATGGTGTTAGTACTTTGTATGAGCTC